GGGGCTGGCTGGGGACCGGCCAGGCCAAGCTGTAGCTGAGCGCAGGTGGGAGCGAGCCCTGAGCCCCGCGTGGCTGGAGAGGGCTTTGCTCCCCGTCCCGGACATGCCGGTGGGGCGTGCACCAGCACTGCGGCAACAGGGGCAAACAGTGCGCCTTGCCGGATTTGCCCACTTTTCCCCGGACAAGCCAAGAAAGCATCCTTTCCGCTCAGGGTGCGAGGGGTGCCACAGGTACCCCAACCCTGGGCTTTGCGGCATCTGGCCCTGCAGCGCCTTTCTTCTCTCGTCTGCTCCCCCGGGAGGATGCATCTGCCCTTTGGGCTGGTGCCCAGGCTCCTGATTGTGGGGCAAAAATGGGCAGATTAGGTGATGTGGCCCTGATGCTGGATGACCTGCCCTGAGTAGGCTTGGGGAAGGAAATGGGATTAACAGAGCTGTTTCCCGATGCCACAAAGTTATAGATTGTTCATTTCTTCCCTTTTACTTTTTAATGAGGTGGTATGAAAAGCAATTCAAAGCAGAGCCTGGCCCTTTCCAAGCTCTGGGGAAGCATTTGAAGCCATATGGTCTCAGAGATAAAATGGTCTGGCTGAAACAGCCTTCCTTCCCCCATTTCCCTAGCTGCTGGGTGGGGAGAGCCACCTTACTTGGTGTTTCCTACTTCTCCAAGGCCGTGACTTAGCTTTTCCTACCTTGGCAAAGCCATCTCTTTAAGAACACGATGGAAACTTTATCCATGCCTGGTCAAGTTGGCTTGCATTTATTATTAATAATAATAATTTTAAATCCCCCTTTCTAAATTGGAGGAGCAGCAGGAGGCCTTGAGCTAACTCAAACTGGAAAAGATCCAGGGCAGGATGGTCAGAGCTTCAGATAGATTGCAAGACAAAAACAAACAAACAAACAAAAAAATCCATGATGGGCTATTGAGTGTTGGGTTGCTGCTTCCCCTCAGCTACCCTGCATCGTTGAAGGCTGGGAATGCATTCAGGACAATATTGCTGTGTTCAGCCTGTTCCCTGCCTCCCTAGGTGTCTGCTTGCTGCCACTGGTGGTGATGGGACCCCAGACTGGACAGGTACTAGTGTCTCTTAGGTGGCAGTGGCTCGGTGTAGAGTCAGTGTGGATAGGACCAGTGGCTTTTGGGTTATACCTTTATCACACCAACTGAGCAGTTTGGTGTAACAGCTGGATCTTGCCAGCTACAGCTGGGGAACACAGGCACACAACAATCTCCAAAGCTTCCTCTGTGATCCTTAGTCTGATCCAGGTTCCTGGGTCCAGCAAGAGATTTCAAAAAGCAGCTCTGAAGCGGAGAAAAGCGTCCCTGCACAAAGGCAGCTCTGCCCCACGCTGCCTGCTGAGCTCATGACGCCGAGACCGGGGCTGGGGCCTGTATTTGCGAGGGGGTTACTCTGAGCCCCTTCCCCTGGCCGCTGCTGGGCTTGTCATCAGCAGCAGCAGGATCTCTCAGCATCCTGTTTGCCGTGTGGGGAAGGGCCGGGGGGAAGAGCTGGGGTC